ATCTTGGAAATGAGAACCCATAAAACATATATTGATACAGACCAGCCATTCTAATTTTTTAGGCATACAAGCAGCGCTATGCGATTGTAAACAAAGCAGTGAACTCCCAGATGCGAAATCGGTGAGCTGTGAGATATCAACTGGGTGAAACTAAAGCGGCTGTCCCCAACTCAACACATACACACACATACGCCAGTCTGTTAGCCCGGATTTGGATACAATTGCAAACTACTGGAGCATACTCTGTGTCAACGATTGAGAAACCTAACGAAAGCACCTCAGAGGTCACCGTTCATTCTGGGTTCGGATCAATAATTCATGAAATGAAAAAACGGCCAAAGTGAATTATATATATATATATATACACGCACACACACGCCTGTTTGAGAAACCAGGGTGATAGATCAACCGGTAGCAGACAACAATGCGAACGAGACCGCTTACTTCATCCACATTGACTCGGGCTTTTGCGCTGGTTTCCAGAAACGGACAATTGAAACGTCGAGCCAAATTCTGTCCCTGTTCACGACCGACCACACGTTCGGCATCCAAGTCACATTTGTTGCCCACAAGAATGAGCGGAATGTTTGGCGAGTCTTTCACACGTAGGATTTGTTCGTACAGATCTTCTAAGTCGTTGAATGTGGATTGGGCGGTGATGGAATAGCACAGGACAAAACCCTGGCCATTTTTCATATACAAATCACGCATAGCGGTGAATTGTTCCTGTCATAAATAGGTNGGGGGGGGAGTGGGAGAGTAGCCGGATAAACAGGTGAAGTGATATAGCATTAATCATAATAGTGCCTTACACAGAATAGATAATGATTTCGTCAATTTACGGGAACGGAAAGCAATCAGTTAGAATTGTCGAGGGAAAAGTAGGCGGTATCTGGAGATGCCGTAGTAGTCGGCATCGCTTGACCACCTCCGTCCACGAACATAGTAGCTACTGAATTGTGTGATACATTTAGGCTTGTGCAAAATAACAAATTAGAGGAAGCTACGGGGGGATTCGGTGTAAGCACTAGTATGTGAATTGTACCTCTATTCATGGAACAGAGAGCCTCCTCGAACCGCAAAAACCGCGGTTGGTTAGTACACTTCACTAAATGTAATAGTTCTTCACTCCAAACACCAGAGTTCTCGATTCTGATTCTATTGGTCAGATAGTGGTCCATCATAATCATGGGATGGAACTATTTTACTTTATTGTTCAGATTGTTGTTTGGCAGATTTGAAGTTTGTATGTCGAGATTGTGAAAAGTTCAGTAGCCGCGGTGAGATTTAAACCCAGGCTACTGAACTTTTCACAATCGACTAAATTTACTTTAAATTATCGATCGTGAGGAAAAATAAAATATGAATCAATCAATCAGGGTGGTTCAGAGAATGCGGTTCGGGGATGTGAAGCTTTTAACACATCTACCACGGGAAAAATGATAAACTCAATATTACTAGAAAAATGATTTATAGCCAGGCTCTCTGGCGTCCTACTCGATATGCCATCTATTGATAAAACATTAATATATTCATATGATTACTTTTTAAACGCTGAATATGCGTGCACAAACTATTCAGATGATAGCCATCAGATGGAGCTTTAACTCAATCACAATAATCATTCATTCATTCAGCATATGAACAAATCGGACAGTAAAAGCAATCGCATCGTTGTTCGCGACTAAGTGGCAGTCTCACTTCAACAGAGCTAACAGAGGCATTGTCGAAATGACAGACAGACGGACAGACAGAGATGTAAAGGAAAACCATGTTAATGGGAGTGATTTTTCAAACCAAGCAGTCACTGTTCTACGGTGTTAAACAAATACATCCTTCCATTCCATACAAATAACCAGAACACGGTCCAGATATACGACAAGATTTCGACTGACCGCACAACAATGACTAGTATTTAGTCAGGCAACCTCTGGTTACGTTCCCTTCCATTTGGTGGTGGATATGACTTACTAATTCTTTGTGAGAGGAAACTACTCAAGTTGATGAAATAACGTGGACGATGGGCTGAGTAAGCTATCCCGAAGCTCTCAGCCGGCCGAACTAGTCACCGCGATATTAGAGTGCGTCCGTGATCCCTCAACAAAATCTCTCGCGAACGATTGAAATGTACCAGATGAGCTTTGGTCAGACTGCTCCGACTACTGACTCAGTTTGACTGTTCTATCCACCGTTCTGAGAAAACACGCGCTTCCAGAACAGTTTATTCTTTTGGATCTGTGACCGGTTCCTTTACAAAATCCAAGCATTTTGCTTACCGATGCCCACGATTATCACCAAAACTATTTGATACTGTTTCGACATATGATTTCGGCAAACGTCTACGTTCAATTTACAGATCACAATAATGGAGGCAACCGTTATCCAGTGCACGCACACATTGACAACTACACGAAAAACTGTAATGCATTCTACTGTTTGACAAGTAATCATTTTCTCTGAAAGAAAAAATAAGCTCTATCGTGATAGCATTTTTAAAAGACATGCTTACAGAAACCGTTCACTAAAACGTCCGGATGAAGACCATGTGAATATGAAAAATGTGGAGAAAACTTGGAAACTACAGCAATTTTGAGATCTTAAAACTACGGTATATCAATGGAATAGGATCGAAACACCCGGATTGTGGGAAAAATTTGAAGAACATCTACTTTGTATCGGTACAACGTGCGAAGTTTTTTTACTGTTGGTATATTTCGTGTCATATGGTGAAGTTCCCTGTGTACAGAAGAAATAAAGGGTCAAATGAAAAGCTAGGAAAAATTGAACATTAACCTGCTTATGTCCTGTTAACAGTCATCATCATCATCATCATCATTGTACAGCGTAATACAGTGAAGCGAACATCACTGATCGCTGCCAAACTCATACTGCATACAAGATAAGTGAGAATGTGTGAAGAGGACGGATTGGACCTATTTTTAGGGACAGGAAAAGAAAACGAACCTCTATGGTCAACACACAGAGTACACAGTTCAAATGTGCATACGTACTATTTCAAGCATTCTATTCTGATAAGAAGTGACGGCAAGCTCGCCATTGCTGTCGGTTCGCAGCCATGACCTTCAGTCTCCAACCATGCGGTTTCGGAGTCTTTTGGACCCCAACCCGGAAGACGAGAGACACCTTACTCTACCTAATCGCTGTGGATTTCTTTATGCCTCATCTCCACGTCATCTTCTGGCCTCCATGTGGTTTTCTCCAGCCTGTCACAGCCACTGCAAACAAGGCGCGCTGTGGTAGGCAACCGTCGGACATACACAACGGAGCCTACTGAGCTGGNTTCTTGCTTGATGTATTCCCAAACACCCGACGACTTACTTCTAAGTTACTAACTCGCCCACTCCATCCAACATGGGCCAGACTTCGTAAGCATCGATTATCGAACACAGCAAAACGACGGGTGCCCGCAAATTCAAGGTCTCACAACCGTTAAGTAGAACTGATCGTACGGTGGTGCAGTATACGCGA